GCTCTCATACCTTTTTTGACCCAAGTGGGGGGTTGAGAAATTCCAATGGCAGAGATGGTGAAGATATCACCTAACCAAGATGGAAGTGTGGACTGAGGTTTGGAAGAATATATTATGCAGAGGCAGCCTGTCACATGCTCCACAGACAACTTTGAGAGTTTCTAAAGAATCACTTATTATTTTCTTTGAAAGTCCTCTTTAGTCTACGTTAGAACAGATTGTCCATACTAAAAATAATGTACACACATGACATCCCGTTCTTATTCTGCAGGCTTTTTCTTCCCCCTGTTATATAATCACCTTTTTCGGACTTCGTTGGATGAAATCTATATTGCTTGGCATACCTGTACACAAGAAAACAGTGTGCTAATAATTAACTAAATGTCTTTGAGTTATTATTTGACAAACTTACCACTCTGAGCCTGTAGGCTGGTAATAATTACTTACCCATGAAAATGGGGTGAGGAGTAAATGAAACTGCAAATATAAAATACTTGTCCTAGAAATGGTATCATGCCAGTAAAATGGCTCCATGATGAAAAAAGTGTTGTCTCTAGAGATGGAACCTCCCAAGTTTGACCCCCAGCTCACTACTTCTTAGCTGTGAGACTGAGGCAAGTCCATGTTTCATCTCTGTGTGCCTCAGTGTCCTCGTTTGTGTCTTGAGGATGACGGTAATAGCACCTACCTTCTAGATGTTTGTGAAGATTAAAGATCTTTAATGCATAGAAAGCACTTTGAAGAGTGACTGGTAAAGGGCAGGTGCTTAGTGTCTGCTGATATTTGATAAGTTTCATTTATAATCTTCCTTCTACCCTTAGCCCCTCAGGCAGCCGGTGACTGAAGATCTTGGTAAAAGCTGTTTTTTTCTAAGTCATGGGAATTTCACAAGTGATTTGATATAAAAAGAATGCCGACTGGGGCACCTGGGTGGTTCAGTCGGTTAAGCAATGGACTCTTGGTTTTGGCTCAGGTTGTGATCTCACGGGTCTTGGAACCCAGCTAATCTCAGGGCTCAGTGCGTAGTCGGCTTGAGGTTCTCTCATCTGCCCCTCCCCCCACTCGTGTGTGTGTGTCTGTGTGTGTGTGTGTGTGTGTATCTTTCTCTAAAATTAACATATACATCTTAAAAAAAATGACAACTAATTCCACTGTGTTTACCTTGGTCCAACAGACTAAAAGAAAATGCCTTTTTTCCCCAACATATTTAATTACCTCTCTAGGCATATTCCTAAGGGCATAAAGAACCATAGCTCCATTTGTCTTGAGTCTTCCAGATTTGGAAGTGTGCATGGATTCCACGCTTTGCTAAGCAGTCCCAGCAGTCCTCAATTAAAAGGCATTAAATATTAGTTTTTCCAGACTCCCCCCCCCCCAACCCCGTGCCATCTGGGATGACTAAGCATAAAAATAAACTGGGCCAAATACACATCTGCCTGTGACCTTTCCTGAAAGACATTCTAGGCTCTGATGAAATTTTCTGGACTCTGACAATCAACTTGACATATCTTCAAGTGCCCTGGGTTCATTACAATTTAGGAAAGAGAGAGTAAATTTGGAAAAGGAGCTACTTTCTTACTGTCCCACCTCAGTTTTGAGGGGGGGAATGTAAGGCTTTGGTTAGCTCAGTTGAAGACTTACGTGGCTTTATCATTCCATAAGCAATTTGTATGGTACTTACTAGGAAGGCCTGTTTCATCTTGCTTTGGTCCTTCTTGGTATTCGATCTCCCAGCTGAAAAACTGGGGCTCCTGGGTGGCTCAGTTGGTTAAGCATCCAACTCTTGATCTCAGCTCAGGTCTTGATCTCAGGGCGTGAATTCAAGCCCCACATTGGGCTCCACACCCAGCATGGAACCTACTTTAAAAAAAATTTTTTTTAAATATATATAAATATTGAAAATTAAAATATGCCCCTTCTACTGTTGGACTTGCTTAAACTTAAGTTGGTGTGATAGATATTGAGTACTAGGTTTAAAAAAACACACACACATATGGACTTTAATGCACTGAACTAAATATTATTTTTTAAAGTTGAAAAAATGAATACAATTGTGTGTTTAAGAATTGGACAGAGGGGCACCTACGTAGCTCCATCAGTTAAACTACCCACTCGGTTTCGGCTCAGGTCACGATCTCGGGGTTGTGGGATAGAGCCCTGTCTCGGGCTCCATGTTGAGCTCAGAGTCAGCTGGGACTCTCTCTCCCTCTCCCTCTGCCCATCCCCCTCTCCCCCGCTCCCTCGCTCTCGCTTTCTAAAAAAAATAAATAAATCTTAAAAAAAAAAAAAAAAGAATTGGACAGAGCTGATGCAGGCTTTCAGCCCACGAATGGAAGGAAACCTGCTGGCCTCGAGGGCCGGTGAGAGATAGCTGGTAGGCATCAGGGTCAGCGCTTTGGGGAAGGTTTGGGGAGAGTGCTCAAGGGTCTTGACTCTAAGGGTCAGAGAGAGAATTTTGCCCAGTGAGTTCTAGACATAAATAAGCCTGAGTGGATTGGAAATTCTTTCCCCTATATTCTGAAATATACATATATTTTAGAGCAGTTTTAGGTGTACAACAAAATTGAGAGGGAGGCACAGATTTCTCATATACCCCTATCCCCACACATGCAGAGCCTCCCACGTTAGCAATTGCTAACTGACCAGCCAGGGAAAGAGGAAAATGCAGGCTGGCCGCGTGGGCCGGTGGGAAAAGAGCTGACGGATGCAGAGCAAGCAGCTCTCGTGAGTCCTAAGACCCAGTCCCCTTTCCGTGCCCTCTCTCCCACCCCTGCCGCACTTCCTCTTGCCCTTCTGTCCGTTCTAGAGGCCCCACAATGGCTTTTCATCAGGCAGTGACAACGTCCAGCCCAGAGAGTGAGAACAGAGTCTTGGGGCGGCATAAGGAGGGGAAGTCTTCCTTTTCTGCCCCTGCCCTGAAGGACTGTCCTCTGGCTCTGTTCCTCCACCTTCAGCAACTGTCCCCTTGGAAAGGGACAACTCACTGCCATCTTGGAGCTTACATCTTGGCTGGAGAAGACAGACAACAAAGGGTAGTTATCACGCGTAATTATATAGAATGTGAGAAGGGACTAAACGCTCCAGGGAGGTACAAAGTACAGCAGGGCAAGGCAGGTCAGGGTGGTAGTAAATGTAATTTTTATATTTTCACGAATGAAAACACTTACTGTCACAATAGTTGGTAGCACTGGGGCAGCATGAAGTGTGTGCCAGGCACCATTCTACATGTTTACTCTATTCACTCAGTGAACTCCCAAACGATAACACATTAGCCGGAAAGCAGACAGGGCTGAAGCCCTTAGAAGAAGAGCCAGGAATGAAGGAACGCGGAGAAATCAACGCCCTGCTGTTCCACCTGCGGAGCATTCCGAGTACCTGTCGCTCCTTCTCTGCCACGGTTGTCAGTGTCTTCATTCGGGTGTGAGCTTATGAGGGCACGTGTGAGTGTGAGCACACGGAGGGTGAGCGGTGGTTCCTCTAGCACAGGCCTTACATCTGGGGCCTTTTCCACGGAGTTTAGGACAACCTGTGGCACGTGCCATTGTTAAGACCACTACATTTGAAGCGACTGTGAGTCTGCGAAACGCGTTATGGGGACATCCGGGGTCACATCTTGAGTCGGTGGTTTGTGGGGTGGCTTGTGGGGGAGACTGCCCCTTGCCAGCTAAAGAGAGAGGACTGCTTCCCCCTTGCCCGCTCCACCACTACCGGCAGGCTGTGCTTCAGGCAAATCTTTCTTAGAACCTACCCGAATATGACTGCGTTGCACTTTTATAAGTACATACAAAACATGCAGCATGAATCTTTGTCTTTGTGAAGTGAAATGATCACCGGGGTGTTAGCTGTGTCAAGCGTGGGTTATAATTATGAGTCCTGAGATTAACCAGGCAGGCAAACACTTGCCACAGAAACTCGTATCTCCCCACCCAAGTAACGGATCAGTCCTCAGGTAGAAAAGAGAGTTCCCTGCATACCTTTTCCTACATGGGATTTGGACGCCTGCAGAGGATAAAATCAGGTTTGCCTTTGTTTGCTTGACAAGAGGAGGAGGAAAAGTGCATTTTATAACACCCCAGAAACAGACTAAGCATTTATTTGGGTACATTTCCATCAGATATGTTTCATTTAACTTATTTAAAAGTTCATGGGGGATGACTTCATCTGTTAGCAGCCTGGAGGGATGAGCAGCTGGGAGAAGGGTGGCTTCTGGAAACAGTTTCAGCTGGTCCATGTAGGAATAACAAGCTTGAACTCTAACTGCGGTCATATAAGGACCTTCCTCGCAGTTCAAGCTGTAGCTCACCCCAAGCACCCCACCTTAGACAATGCCCACTCCCTGGTCTTTGTCATTGTGTCTCCTTTATGAAAAGCCCTAACCTGAAGAATTCTTACTTGCCCTTCAAGACTAAGTTCAGGGGCACCTGGGTGGTTCAGTCGGTTAAGTGTCTGCCTTCAGCTCAGGTCATAATTCCAGGGTCTTGGGTTTGAGGCCCCGAGCAGGGCTGCCTGCCTGATGGGGACTCTGTTTGTCCCTCCCTTTGCCCCTTCCCCTGCTCTGTGCATGTACTCTCTCTCTCTGTCTCTCAAATAAATAAATAAATAAATCTTAAAAAAAGAGGACTTAGCTCAAATGTAACTTAAAGGACACTGGCTAGACCATAGTCATCATTTATTTAAGAACATACATAGACTCCAGTGTTAGAGGGTGTGAGTTTACTACAGAGAGTCACCATCCAACAGCTGTGTCATCTGGGATACTCAACCTTCATTTTCTCATCTCCACAACAGAGAGAAGGATCATTGTAGGTCTTTCATAAGGCTGCCGCAAGATCAAATGCATTCGTATCTATAAAGCGCTTAGAACACTGCCTGGAGCTGAACAAGCTCCCAGTGAAATCAGCCACCCCCATTATTGCTGTTGTTCTCAGAGTCAAGTCCAATATCAAGTATCTGGTGAATTATAGAAGTGAATTGATCAATCAATCTCTCTCTTTTCACAGGAGGAGCAGATGTGTTTTAAGACATCTTTACCCACCACTGGTCACTGCTAAACACCATTGCAGCTCACACATTAAAACGCAAGAGACACCCTAAGAAGACAAATGGAAATATTTTTAACAATCGTGGAAGGATCAGTAAGAACCTGGCTAAAATATTTTTTTTTCTGAGTATAAAAATATTAAATGTTTATTGTAGAATTTTGTAAAGAGAGAAATATATAAAGAAGAGAATTAAAATAACTCTTAGTATCTCCTTTTAATGGATATGACAAATATGTATAGATGAATGTGAATACATATGATACACCTATAATGCATATAAAAAGCATATTTAGGTATCATGCCATATATGCACATATATAATTTTCTAGGTAATACATGGATGTATCATTACTTACATAAATAGTCCTCTGTTATTAGCTATTTAGATTGAGTTCCATTTTTTTCTTAACTTTTTTTCAAAGTTTTTAAAGTAATGTCTACACCCAGCGTGGAGCTTGAACTCATGACCCTGAGATCAAGAGTTGCGTGCCCCTCCAACTGAGCCAGCCAGGCGCCCCCTGAGTTTCATTTTTAGGTATTTGAGATCAAACAGATCACACATCTTTGTTTAAATATGTGATTATCTCTTTAGGATAGACTTCTAGAAGTAGAAATACTAAATCACAAGGTCACCACATTTTTTAAGGCTCTTTAAAAAAAAAAGATTTTATTTATTTGACAGAGAGAGACACAGCGAAAGAGGGAACACAAGCAGCGGGAGTGGGAGAGGGAGAAGCAGGCTTCGAGCCTGACCCGGGGCTCGATCCCAGGACCCCGGGATCATGACCTGAGCCGAAGGCCAACTCTTAACCACTGAGTCACCCAGGCACCCCTTAAGGCTCTTAATATGTACATTGCCAAATTGCCATCCAGAAGGACCACGCCCATTTATAATCCCAACATTTTATGAAAATCCCTGTTTTACAGCATGTATATTTACGCTGAGAATTGCTTTAAAGCATCATTAACCTGACAGGCCAAAAAAATTTCTTTTGAACTGCCATTTCCCTCATGGGACTTTTCCCCCATGTTTTCATTAGCTATGATCCCATAAGAAATGAACCGCTGCTGCCCATGGTCACAATCATTCCACGGAAGACACCATATGTAGAGTAAGTAGGCTCTGAGGTTAAGACCAAAAACTAGGATTTAGCAGGTGCCTCCCTCTGCCCAGGACGGTGTTGGAATAATAAATTGCATTTGGCTGTGTGTGTAGCTGAACCTACTTTTACCTACGTTGTTTCTTACAAGCCTCCTAATGACTGCATGAGAAAGGTATCTAATGTGGATTGAATTCTGTCCCCCCAGAATTCATACATTGAGACCCTAACTCCCAATGTGACTCTATCTGGAGATGGGCTTTAGTAGGTATTTGAGGCTTAAGAAGTTATAAAAGTGAGGTCCTAATCGAATTAGATTGGTGGGCTTGTAAGAAGAGGGAGAGAGAAAGACAGTTCTGGTACCTATGCAGCAGAGAAAGGTCATTTGAGGTCAGAGCCAGGAGGCAGCCATGTAAAGGCTAGGAAAAGTGTTCTCACCGGAATCTGGCCATGCTGGCGCCCTGATCTCAGATTTCAAGTCTCCAGAGCTACGAGGAAATAAATTCCTATAGCCACCCAACATATAGTATTTCATTCTGCTAGCCTGACCCGACTAAGACAGGTCATCGCCGTGACTTACAGACGAGGAGAGTGAATAAGACTATGGGAGAAACAAAGTGCTATGTGGCCACAATCACAAGAGTCAGAAACAGGCAAGTTGGAAGCTCACCCAGTTGTCCTTACTCCAAGGCCGGGGCTCCTCCATTCCACACACAGACAGTAGCCTTGAAGGATCAAGAGCCACATGTTTCCAGAACCAGTATTAGACTAAGACTTGTCCCCAGAAGATGAATGTTTAATCTTAAATAAATATGCTCTGACTGCTCATTTATGAAAAATGTTGAACTTCCTGCAAAACTAAAATGCAAATTGTGTGCAAAACCCTTTTGCCAACCCAGTGGAAAAATGATATAAAGCCTAATGGTATCCTTACAGCACCGGGGTTTGTATGTGTGGTGAAGCAGGCTCTCACATTGGTCCTAAAGTAGTGCCTCAGACAGGTAAATAAACCGGAAAGATATACTGTAAAATGTTTGTTTATTTTTAAAAATATTTTTAAAGATTTATTTATTTATTTGAGAGAGAGGGAGATGGAGGGAGGGTCTCAAGCAGACTCTGCACTGAACGTGGAGCCCCATTTGGGGCTCGATCTCAGGACCCTGAGGTCACCACCAGAGCCAAAACCAAAATTCAGGTGCTTAACTGACTTGAGCCACTCAGGCTCCCCTAAAAGGTTTATTTTTTTAAAAAAAAAGGAAACAAAGGAGATAAAGGTGGAAATTAGATTGAGTATATGTCCATCCATCCATTCAATGGGTCGGCCCAGATAAGCCCCTCCCACACACCAGGCACTGTTGTGGGAGGATTCAGTACTGTGCATGGCAGACAAAAAATTCCAGGTCCATGAAGTTGGCATGCTCATGGAAAGGTATTATCCACTGAATCAGTCACGAATGCACTGGGCTGCATTTCACAAAAGTCCATGTGTAGTCGGTTAGCTAGAAAGAGATTTGTTTGTCCTCATTAGCAGAAGAGCTTGGCTGGTTTGTCAGGGGCCATGGGGAGCTGCCAATGGTGCCCAAGGTTTCTTCTAGCATCCTGTGCTCTCAGTGGTGCCGTTTTCATCCTCCATGTAGTTTTCAACCTCATGGTCCTCCTTAGCTCCTCTGGAAGGCTAATCTATGCTCCACACTGGAAGAAGGGGTAAGATCCAGGGTAAATAGGCATGTGGCATCTGAGTCAACTGGATTATTATTGGGAAGTTAAAAAAAAAGACGTCCTGCTTTTCTTCTGATGATTCCGTATTCTGCATTAAAGTGCAACAGAAAATTCCCCCCGAGTTCTAATTCTTGTGTCTCCTTATTTTCAGAGACTGGCTCATGAGCATCCATGGAGCTTGAGAAAAATCATTTCAGTCATCTAGCGATGAGCCGTTCATGGAAAGGTTTTGGATAGTCTCCGTTGTTAGCATTATAGGTGTGAGTCACAAATTAAGAAATGGCATGATATGAGTAGTGTCTTTGTTTACATACAAATAGCTAATAATAGAGGTCGGAATGTCAGGAAGAACAGAAATAAGATTACCTGAATGGCTCCTCCAGCGGGTTTCCGCTGTTATGCAAATAGCTTTTCTTCTAAGCAGGCACTTCAGTGCTTTCTCATTAGACGGTGGTGGGTTTCTTTCCTCTGTCCTCTGAGAAGTTTCTAGAACTCCTTTGGAAGGCATGCTGTTTCATAAGAAGGAGCAGAAACAGGCTGAACAAGTCATTCAGGTCCATCTGACTCAATTGAGGACATCTTCCCTGCTACCCTCCTTAAACAGAGGTTTCTCCATTTTGAAACCCTGAGCAGATTATTGTTTTGGGCATTGATTTTGGCACCAAATAATTGTTGTCATTGCATATATTTAAATCTTATCTCCCAAATACAGAAAACAGTCATTTCTTTAGTTTGGAGACCAAGTAATACTTATTTCTTAATTTAAAAACTGTTGTTTTTATGTCCCTCAGCCCTGGAACAGCATCATACCTGCTCTTGATATTTAATACTTGATGATTTTAGAGACAACTTTTACAAACCATGGAATTGTACACATGCCCTTTCTACAAAGCAAACAAAATAATTACTCAATACCTGAACAAGCAATCAATCAAAATAGAGTGATTCAAAAATGATGAGATCAGTTGAAAAAGGTAAAGTTAAATGTGAAATAATGTTTGTTAAAGATAGATGAAACTGTCTTTGAAACGAAGTTCAAAAATAGTTATTGAAAAAAGAAGAAACACATGAAAAAGGTTAACAGTTTTAAAAGGTAGGTCTAAATCTTAGATACTAGGAAAATCTAAGAAGCATGTAGGGTAGATATTCTGGTAAGTGAAAGTCTGCTAATCTCACTGAACATAGTGAAAATCTGTAGACGCCTTTATTTTGCTCACACACACACACATACATGGAGAAATATAGAATAAACATTTTTTTTTTTAAACAACAGACTGGAGGGCACCCCCCCTTCGGGTCCCCTCAGTCCTCGGGAGCTTTGTACTATCACTTTGCTATCGCTCAATAAACCTTGCTTTGCTGCCCATCACTCTGTCTGGTCCACCTCTTCATTTTTCGAAGTGGTGTGACCCTGAACTGTGGGCACCGATGGAGAAAAATCCTGCAACACCTTGACCAAAGAGATTACAGATGTCCAGAAAAATAAGGTGTCCTGAGGTCACATAGCCACACTAAGTGCCTCCAATGTTTGCTCAGAGGAAAACAAGGAAGATGAATAGAGGTTCTGGAGGCCAACGTAACACCACTTCAAATCTCAGCTCTGAGCATGAGACTCTTGATCTCAGGGTCATGAGTTTGAGCCCCATGTTGGGTGTAAAGATTACTAAAAAAATAAATGAATAAAGTTAAAAAATTAAAAAAACAACAGACTAGAATGTTAAATTAATATTAAAAATGGGCTGTATGGTTTCCATATCATGAGAGAATAAACTTATTATAATTTTTTAAAGAAAACTGTTACTTTCTTTGCAACTGCTTCCCTTGCTTTACTATTCAGAAGTAGGAGAGGGCAACAAAAGTTGATCTTAAGGAAATGTTTATGGCAGTATTATTTCAAAAATGAAAGTTCAGAAGGTTGACTTTCCCACAATAGAAAATTTGCCAAAATAAAATTACAGTATTGCTTCACACACACACACACACACACACACACACACACACACACACAGCTATAAAAATGTAATTACATGAACATCAGTTCTAACATATTAAGAGGAAGAAAAAAAATGACCTGACACAGGCAGGTGATGTCCATAACTAGCTAGAGCCTTTTGAAGCCAACCTCCTGCTTCCTAGCTCCAAGACCTTGGGTGAGTTTTATGACTTTTCTGTGATTCAGTTTCTTAACGACAAAATTAGTTTCTATACTTTTTCATTTTTTGAAGAGGAAAAACTTGGAGTGATGATTGACACAGAGTAATAAGCTCTGTGTGTGTGTGTGTGTGTGTGGTAGCTTTTAGATTTCCAATGCAAAGTATGAATCATGGTTTTTTGTCTGGATCTTAAATTATGGAATGTAAGAATTTTTTAAATTCTCCAATTCTTTGTTACTTTTAAAGCAATAGAATGATACGTTCTGTCAACCTATAGTTATAAGGATCAATCCACTTCACAACCTGACCTGTGAGCACAAGTACTCAGGGGTCACAGAGGGTCAGAAAAACCAAACACATGTTAAAACATAGGGGGAGACGAACCATGAGAGATGATGGACTCTGAAAAACTGAGGGTTCTAGAGGGTAGGGGGGTGGGGGGATGGGTTAGCCTGGTGATGGGTATTGAGGAGGGCACGTTTTGCATGGTGCACTGGGTGTTATGAACAAACAATGAATCATGGAACACTGCATCAAAAACTAATGATGTAATATATGGTGATTAACATAACAATAAAAAAAATTAAAAAAAAAAAACATAGGGTCCTTGGTAAGATGCACCTGTAATCTCCCTTAGAAAGATTTTTCAAACTGAGGGTCACATTAGTGCATTAGTGCGTTGTGAAATCGATCCCATAGTTTGTAACCAGCATTAGAAAAATGAAATAGACTAGAATGTATCAGAATGCAAGCACTTAAGTTGGTATTGTTTTCTGAATTTTTGTTGCAGGTGTGTTTGTAAGCATGAGCCCATGAGACAGAGAGGCAGAGAATTTGCTACCTCACTTGGCAACCAGAAACTGGCAAGTCTCATCATTTGATTTCCGCTTCAGAAATATTTCAGATGTAGACTCTCTCCTTTCCCACCCTACCTCCTTAGCTGAAGCCCTTGCCTTTCTTCTGAGACTATTGCAACAGACCACCAACTTCTGACATTGGGCCCTTTCCAATAATTATTTTTTTATGTGAAAAATCTAAAACCAAGACAGCTACAAGAACAATACACAAATCCTCTCCTTAAAAACTTCAGGTCCTTCCCCAGCCTGCAAAGTAACAAGCTTCTCATGCAGGCACTGGCGGGTCGGGCGGGGGGGCGGTGATCTCCACATGAGGGTCGTTTTGGCGTTTTCCTCTGCTGAAGCCTGGGCTTTGGCCGTACCGCGCTGCTCTCTCAACATCGTTCTGGAAGGTCTGGCCTTGATGAACAAATTCCTTTCTGGACCTCTTACGAAGGCAAGTCCGAGGACAAGCCCCCAAAAGGATCCGTCCCAGACCTTGTTCCAATAACTCCTTCCCCGAAGCTTTGCAGGCACATGGGCCAGCCCAGTCCTGCTGGAGATCTGGGGCTCTGGTTCCCACGGTCTCTTCCTGCCTCCCGTTTTCGGGTTAATTCAAGCCACAGGGACTGAGGACTGGTTTAAGTCACAAACAACCCACATGCCTTGGAGATTACGGTTCATTAGATTGTTTGCCCAAATAAAGTCGTACTCTGCAGTTTTTAGACAATCCTATAAGCATCTCCTAAGCACGCAGTGAGACATTTAAGAGATGTGTTACTTTCTTCACATACATAAATCATTTTCAATAAAAGTCAATGTGTGAATAATTTATTTTCTCCCCCGATTGGAAGCCAACCGTTTGGAAAACCACTCAGAAGAGCTGAGGTAAGCCTCTTGCTCAAAATTACTTTTAAATATACAAGGAAAAGAGGAAGTTTTCTTCTTCTCCTTGAGTTTTGCTGAAAATCGAGAGCTTTATCTAATAGTTTTGGCATTCGGGGTCATTTTTCATGAAAAGGTTAAAAGGCACGTGGAATCCGAGTCTCCACGGATTACCCAGCAGTGAAGCGTGGGCGATTCTGCTCGGAGGATTTGTGTGGAATCCAACTTTTGGGGGTAAAACAAACACAAATATTCCTCCCCCAGGGGGCGGGGCGGCGCCCGGGGGATGCACCAATCACAGCGCGCCCCGCCCTATATAAGGCCTTGAGGCCCCCCCTGCCACGTTTGACGCTTCTCGGTGGTCCCCGTCGGTTTGTCCTCGTGAGATGTCTGAGACCGCTCCGGCAGCCGCAGCTGACACTGCTCTGGCTTCTATGGAGAACCCTCCAGCTAAGAAGAGAGGGAGGAAGCCGGTGGGCTTGTCAGGCGCTAGTCGCAAGGCCCCGAGCTTGTCCGTGTCCAAGTTGATCAGGGAGGCTCTCTCCGTGTCCCAGGAGCGAGCAGGCATGTCCCTGGCCGCGCTCAAGAAGGCGCTCGCGGCCGCCGGCTACGACGTGGAGAAGAACAACAGCCGCATCAAGCTGGGCCTCAAGAGCCTGGTGAGCAAGGGCACCCTGGTGCAGACCAAGGGCACCGGCGCCTCGGGCTCCTTCAAGCTCAACAAGAAGGCCCTTCCTGAGACCACCAAGAGCAAGGTCAAAAGACCCTCTTCTGCAAAGGCAAAGAAGCTGGTCTTATCTAGGGATTCGAAGTCGCCGAAAGGTGCCAAGACCAACAAAGCCAAGAAGCCCAGGGCAACAGCAGCGCAGAAAGCGGCCAGGAGCGGCGGGAAGGCGAAGGGAGCCAAGGGCAAGCAAGCACGGAAGAGTCCGGGGAAAGCCAGAGCAGGGAAGCCGAAGGCCGGGAAGTCCAAGCTGAGCCAGCAGAAAACGAACCCGAGGAAAGTGGCGTCCAAGAAGTAAGCTGAAAGGAGCTCTATGGTCAACCCAAAGGCTCTTTTAAGAGCCACCCCAAGTACTTTAAAAAGGGCTTGACACTGAACTTTTAGAAGCTTGTAAATGTGTGAACAGTAGTGGTCTATTAAGTAAATTCTATTGCAGGAAATACTAAGGGTCTCGTCAGATAAGGTGCTGTAGATCGGCACCTTAAGGTTTCAATATTGGAAAATCCTCGTGCCTCATCTAAAAGCAGTTTGCGCACTGGAGTACCAGTACGGCACACGGCCATGTGTACCCGCCATACTTCTCTGGAAAGACTAACGTGTTGGTCGAGGGAGGAGTGGAGATCAGCTCGGCACAAACCTAGCTGACTTTCCAAGTGCTTACATTCCAGTTGACCCTATTACATGGTGCCACTGTAACTAGGGTTTCAGAACTCACTGCACAGCTTTGTGGGTCAATAATATATAGGAATTGTAACAAAATTTGGATTGGGGCAATTTTAAATCTTTGGAGTTTTCCATTTATTTTTTAAACATTTATTTGAGAGACCAAGCACCAGCATGGGGAGGGGCAGAGGGGGAATCAGGCTCCCTGCTGAGCGGGGAGCAGAGCTGAGCTGGGGGCTCCATCCCAAGACCCTCAGGTCATGACCTGAGCCAAAGTCAAGAGTCAGATACTTAACCAACTGAGCCACCCAGGCACCCTGAGTTTAACACTTAACAGAAAAATCAAGTATCTTCAGTTTACAGTTGAAAGAATGAAATACCGTTTATCTTCATTTCCAAAGTACTGTATTGTCACATTAAAAAAATTGGTTTGAAAATACAACTAATATAATTGTAATTCTATGTATTTTATGAAGAGAGTGGATAGGCTTGTCCAGATTGTGTTGCACGGGCTGAAAAATACTAAACCTTCATGGAGATATTGGGGCTACAAAGTTTTTAGGGTCCAAACTGAACATCACAAAAACGACTTAGGAAATTCTCAGGATCTGAGTAAAGGCATCTTTCTCATTTTAAGCAAAATTAGTTTTAAAGCTTTCACCTAATTTGGGATTTAGCATTCTTAAAGATTATTATATTAAATTCATGCTGTTAATCTTATTTTGGGCCTTGGTATTTGGAGCAACCTTTATTGAATAAAGCCCAATGCACAACTACGTAACGCATTCTTTCATGTAGAAGCTTGTATTAGATAACTCACTGGGGCCTAGCCTTTCTAAACTCATTTATGTAACTGGGCCTCTTGACAATTTTTTTATATAATGGAAAACGAATAAACATAATCGTTTAAAGTTGTATAGTCCGCCACAGCCCGTGTCTTGCTTGGACATGGCGGCCAGTTTCCCTTTCAGGTTGGAACGGTAACGCAGGAATACGGTTCGCTTGCGGGGAAGGCCATGAGTCCCTCGTTCGACTGCCGCGCCCAGCAGTGGACCGACCCCAGACCCCCGCCTGGCAGCAGGCAGGTCCCCGGCCCTGCTCGAATCCGTCTAGAACGGGCCCCGCGATCCTGTGCGCCTTTGCTCCTCGCGCCTCTTTAGGGCCTGGCAGACATCGGGTTAACCAACCAAGGTTCTTCCGCCAGTTCCGGGGACAGCTATTAAACCCTTTTTAGCTAACAGGAAAAATGGTGCTGAAATCCCGCCCCCCGCAATTTTTTCCTGCACCACACCGACATCCAATCAGAGCTTGTCCCCGAAGGACCTTCATTTGCATTGCATAGCCGCGGCTGGTGGGACCGAGAGCCAACATTGTATCGTGGGTGTTACTGGCGCCGCGTTTAGCCGAAGAACCTTCATCGGGATGCTCTCGGTTACTTAAGAGTACAGTTCTGGTCATTTCATTGCCACCACTTTGGCGGTTTTTAAAAAAATAGAGAAAAATTTCAAACCCTTAGGTAGTACAAGCTCCCCTGATCTAGATTACATCACGGCATAAATTTCTGAACCTACTCTTCCGATAGTTTACACACTTGTTACTACCCGCATTTTACACTACCCCAACTTCCCTTCTAGCAAGCACAACAGCCCTTTAAATGATTCTGTGGGCGGCCCTGAAAAGGGCCTTTGTGTTTGGAGATACGGGGGGGTCCGGTGCGCTCAGCCCCCGAAGCCGTAGAGGGTGCGGCCCTGGCGCTTGAGCGCGTAGACCACGTCCATGGCCGTGACCGTCTTGCGCTTGGCGTGCTCCGTGTAGGTGACGGCGTCCCGGATCACGTTCTCCAGGAACACCTTGAGCACCCCGCGGGTCTCCTCGTAGATGAGGCCGGAGATGCGCTTGACGCCGCCGCGCCGGGCCAGCCGCCGAATGGCGGGCTTGGTGATGCCCTGGATGTTGTCGCGCAGCACCTTGCGGTGGCGCTTGGCGCCGCCTTTGCCCAGGCCCTTCCCACCTTTGCCGCGACCAGACATGGTGGTAGTGCTGGTTGAAGTGATTACCTCGGAGTCACGCAGCCCTTTAAATAGCATTTGTGCGGACCTGATTGAGAACACCGTGCCCTGGTGTTCTTTCCGAATTAGGTCAGTAAGGGGGTGGGGCAAGGAGGCCTCATTAACATTTGGGTGTTTTGATTGGCCAGTGAAACCTCGCTCTTCGTCGGGCGGGCTGGAGGGGGAGGTACAGCCCTCACTGGATGAAAAGCTTGTGTCTCTTTTATCCTGAGTTTTTTTCAGGGCGCGTTTGCAAATGGAATGTGTTTTTTTTTAACCAGGTAAAGCCGCCGAGCAAAGAGAACCACTCAACGTTTCTTTTTATTTCCACTTAATAACTAATAAATTATGTAATGATTCCTTGGGGGGAATGTAGAGGAAATAATGTGAAGGACGGTGGATTTATAGGTCAAGGGACTTCCCCTCCGGCTTCTTTAGTATTCCTATTGAACTGACGCACTTAGAAGGCCTTTATGCTGGACAAAGTGTAAGCGTGGCCACCTAAAAGCTCTGGCCCTATGTTTGGAAACAGAAAAAAACCGAACAATTGCAAATTAAAACTTCTTGTTCCCTTTCAAACATTTATTGAGTGATTCCTGTTTCTACAAAAGTCTGTGCGAGAGTTAGGGAACCTAAGGCTAAGCTTAGACAATCAGTTGCCCCTGGACCCTCTTCCTGGCCTGCTGGGCCTCTCTGATCTGCCTGCAGTTCCTAATAAACTCTCCTTTCCTCCTTAACTAACTGATTGATGCCTTTTCAACCTTCTCCAGGTTTAGAGACAAGAACAAACGTTTTGTTGAGTGGGGGATTAATTGTAGGGCAGGGCTAATACTTGATTAAGGTCATAACAAAGCCTACAGGGCCCTCCCCTGGAGGGCTTTTGATGAGATTATTGGTGTTTTAAACAAGGCTAATCCCATTAAGGGAAAAAAAAAAGCAGAATAGAGCAGAATTGGATCTGAATGTGCTTGGGAGAGGGCCTTCTCAAATAAAAATTTCTCCTTAGCCTCCTGCTGCAGGTTTTGAAAATTTCCGTGATCAGACTTACTGGCACCCCCAAAGTTCTTTGGACAGAGAATTTCTAACAATATCCTCCTTATTTATTTATTTAATAAATAAATGCCTGTTGTGGATACTTAAGACTATGGCCCGAGAGTGATCACACGTGTATATATATATAAAACCTCATACTTTCTCAGGTGAAAAAAGAAGAGTTCCAGGAGAGGGTAGAAAAGCTCTAAATGGCGTATTAATCTGTAACACGTCTGGAATTATTAAGTAGTTACATTCTTCTGCCCCAAATTGAGGGTTTTTAGGTTCCTGACTTTTACTCTCCTCTCCCCCACCACAAACACATACTTTATAAGGGGGACTTAGCTAGGAAGAAATGTCAAACACTACAGAGAAAAAGTGTAGGGTCTGAGATTATAAGTAAAACTGAAATCTCAACGTGCTTTTTATTTCATGGAAATAAATAAAAATAGCGTGTATATAATATGGTAATTTCATGCAAAAATCCATGGTGTGAGCCACCCTTTATGCACATCCCAGCAGGTGCCCTCTGCATTTCAAGAAGAGATCTAGGCCAGCTTCCCCCGAATTTTATTTTGCCCATTCGATCATTAATAAAACTTCACTTTTATTTTGACTTCCCAGTCTTTTTTTCTAGACCCTTCTCCTAATGTCCTCTTTTATCAATTTTTCTCAATGACGTTGACTCAAAAATCATGAATGTCAGAACAGAAATATTTAAAACGTATACACATACTGGGCGCCTGGGTGGCTCAGTTGGTTAAGCGACTGCCTCCGGCTCAGGCCATGATCCTGGAGTCCCGGGATCGAGTCCCGCATCGAGTCCCGCATCGAGTCCCGCATCGAGTCCCGCATCGGGCTCCCTGCTCGGCAGGGAGCCTGCTTCTCCCTCTGACCCTCCCCCCCTCATGTGCGCTTTCTCTCTCTCTCTCTCAAATAAATAAATAAAATCTTAAAAAAAATAAAGTATGTTTAAAAAAACGTATACACATATAGATGTATATTAAAAATGGATCCTTCCACTCGGGGAAGAGTGCAGGTCCTACTTGGTCATAAGGCTCGGGAGAGGGGGTGGCTCACTCTGGCACCTGTATTGAGGGCTTTCTTTTCACCGCCCCCCCCACCATCCTCAGAGAGAACCTGGCTTCAGAGAACCCCATTCATTCAACATGTGAGGAAAGCCCTTCACCTAAAAACCCTACAAACAAGTTGTGGCTAATAGGTCACATCACACATTTGAACAAATAACACCATGAGGTTAATCAAAGGTTTTATAAAAACATGAGATGCCTACAATCACCTTCTGCCGCAGATTAACTCAATCAGAGTATCAGAGCTGAGGAATGGTGTGTATACTATACATATAAATACAAATATATATAGTCAACTGTGTATATATAGTCAACAAACAATTCTGATACTTGTCCAGGGTTGAGAACTACCACTATATCACTATCACTTTTAAGTGTGTAATTGTTCTTTAGTGAGACAAAATCCTAGGGTACAAATGCTTTTGACATATATTACAGTTGAAGAAAGGTATACGTTCAACCTGACCCAACATAGTTTTCCAGGGCTTTATAACATTAGTTTTCTCCAGGCATTTGGGGACATCCCTCCTGGTCTGGGGCAGACAGCTCTTCCAGCCACTGGCTGACAGTTCTTACTGCAATTTAAAGCTTCAGTGCATTTCTCTTTTCCAGCCACCTAACCTTTACCCCAGTATGAATACCCATTGTCTTATTCACTTTCCCTAAATTCGATTTTCATTCCCTTTGGCTTATCTGTGGTCTATAATATATACTGGCTTTTTCCCTAGTTTCCTTACTTCCTCTCCTTCCTGTTCTAGAAAATGTTCTACTTTTTCTTTTCAGTCCAAACATTCTACTGAAAGTTTTGTCCTGTCTACTTCCTCAGCCTGCTGTCTTGGTGTGGGCTTGCTCCTATAAACATTCTTAATGTATTTTGACCTACTAAAAAAAAATTCTTTGGACAGAGAATTTCTAACGATATCCTTCCTTATGCATTTATTTGTTTCAAAATTTTTATATAAATGTCTGTAATTAAATTGATTTTCAGATTTCCTTGAATACTTTCCTAATTGCATACACAAAGCACAAGTATTTTGCGCTTGTTTTAATGGTGAAACTGTGATTCCAAACATATAAAAGGAAAGACCACTAACTGTTACATTCATATTTAAAACAGATGCTCTCTTTGCACACATTGTCAAGATGTTTTGGCAGTATCAAAGTTGGTTATTCCCTGTTTTATGACAATGCCATTGTGGTCACTGTTTAAGAAATAAAATTCAGGGCATTTAATCAACCCTAGAGTAAGGTTAACTGAGACTTAACGCTGGGGGTTTACACAGATACTGGTACTTACCCACCCCATCTCCACCCTGTCCCACCCCAAGTACACAGAAGACTCCAAAACTCTTTTTTAGACTCTTTGGATCAAAAGCTAGAATCTTATATGTAAAAAATAACAATACTTAAAAAAAACCCCACAAACAAACAGCAACAACAGTTTCTACCCCAATGTGGTGAATAAAATGATTCACAGGCGTTTCAAGGCTACTCATACCCAAATTTCTCCCTTAATGAGAAAGAGAATAAATAGAAATGTAAATTTATTCATTAGAAATTTGTTTATTAACAGAAAAAAATCCTTAAATTAAAAAAACACGTAAAGAAAATGTTTCCAAATGTTTATGAAAAAGTTATAGGGATACGGCAAATTCTGAAATGTTAAAACAGATTCCCTCCTCACTGCAGCAAACATCAGAGGTGTTGCCACCAGGAGCATCTCAGATAATAACAATGCCACACTACATGTTTTCTTGACACAGAAACAGGTTTTTTATAGCGGTTATGAGCTTGACTCCGAGCCAGACGAGCTAGAATAAAAATCGAGCACAATAATTTTCTAGCTGTGTAAGCTTCAGCAAGTTATGTAACCTCTCTGTGCTTTGGTTTCTATACAACAAAATAAGGGTAAAAATAACCATGGTTCCTACTTCACCGGATTCTTCAGAAACAATATCCGGAACAAGGCTCGGCATCTGGTAAGTACATAATCATTGTTAGCTGGAAAAAAAAAATAGTTTTAGAAAATAGTCATGCAATGGAAGGCATGCGTGCAGGATGTCAAGTCAACCCAGGCTTTGTAATGAAATCGTCACACAAGATCATTAATAATGAGTTGACATTCTAACTTTTAACACTGATTCCAAAAGAAAAATGAAGAAAAGATGACCCAAAGTCTACAGAAAGAAATCAAAACCCCAAATACCTGTCCATCGTTGTGAAAATCTTAAATGTTTAAAGTCATGCATTCTTGAGTTCTAGTCATTATTAGATTGGAGTGTGATTAGAAAAAAAAAAGAAATTATAGTTTAAAAATGGTAGCTTTTAAAAATTTTCCAGCACTTTAGAGAAGGCATTATGTTTTCGAAGGTGTATGTGTGTGGCCATGAAGAATGTTTCGTAGTGCACCAAGCCCACTCAGCCCTGTAAGACCATATTACTCAGACACAGCAAGAATGTCTGCCTCTACCTCCCAGAAGGTCTCAACCTAAGCTGCACCTGAACTACAAAGATTTCCAAAGGTCTTCCTCTGTTCTGTTCTCAGTTCAGGCAGCTCAACAGTGCCCTGTGATCAAACCAGCTGGTGACTCGTTTCTTATTTCCTCAAATTCTCAGGGGCTTTTTCTCCACAAAAATCTCCAGCGCCCACCTCTTCTCTCTCTCTCCCTCGCCCTGCAGGAAAACCCCCGCCCCAGGGCTAGACAGTCACATGACCACTGTGACACTTCCGATCGTAGCCACCAGGTGGCACCCTTCTTCACACGACCGGGCTTTGTTTGTGGGTGGTTTTGCCAGAGGCCAAATAGGATCCAGAATTTAAAATGTAGGTCTTTGATTTTTTAAATGTAGTTGATCTTAAGTATTGATGAACAAGGGAAGAAAAATTAAGCTAAGGAACACTGAAAGAAAATAGAGGTTTATAACTTCCATTATAAAAAGAATGGGTGGCTCAGTAGGTTAAGTGTCTGCCTTGGGCTCAGGTCATGATCCCACGGTCCTGGGATCCATCGAGCCCTGCGCCAGGCTCCCTGCTCAGCGGAGAGCCTGCTTCTCCCTCTCCCTCTCCCTCTGCTTCTCCCTCTCCCTCTGCTTCTCCCTCTCTCTCTGCTTCTCCCCCTTGGCATATGCTCTCTCTCTCTCACTCTCTCTCAAATATATAAATAAAATCTTTAAAATATACATATATAAAAAGAAAAGTAACAGGCCACACTCGCCAATGGTTAGTGAAAGTCCCACTGCGAAGACGGGTGTTTCTTGAAATCTCAGTCTGTGTGAAAGAAAACCAATATAACACACACCATTCCCTAATTAATTGTAATGTATCCTTAATGAGCTAGAAGAGCAAGGGAACCTTTTGGGCAGTTGTTCTGAGTACAGAATGATATCCAATATGGTTTGGAAGTAAAATAACCAACACGTAACCCCTTAGATGATAATGTTTCTAGAGTGAGGAAAAACAACTAATTCAGCTACCAGAGTTTAATGAAGATATTCCATAAAACAAAATGTAAAAAAATCGGAAGCATATCAATGTCCCACAAATGACCCAATGATTAAGTTGATTAATCCATAACATCGATAAGTACCTAAGGAAAATCATACCGTGGCGCCTAGGTGGCTCAGTCAGTTAAGCATCTGACTCTGGATTTTGGCTGAAGTTGTGACTGGGATTGAGGACTGCGCTGGGCTCTGCACTGGGCGTGGAGCCTGCTTAAGATTCTCTCTCTCTCTCTCTCCCTCTACCCTTCCGCCCCCTAAAAAAAAAATCATACAGTACACAACACAATTAATTGTATGCTTATTAAAGTTTATTTGTTGATTTTATATATTTTAATATAGCAATACTGAGAGGAAATACACAGATCATTCATAGGGTTTATCACTAGCTAATGGAATGATAGTTTCAATTTAACTCATTTTCAACTTTTTGACAATAAGCACAAATTACATGTACTTTTATCCACCTAACTTTCGTAACCAGAAAAAAAAAGAAAAGTTTAAAAAAAATTGTCGAGATCTCTTTGCCCAAATTAAATAACTACCAAACAAACCGTTGAGCTTTATTTGGTCTTCTGAGGCACCTGCCCTGGGAGACAGAATGCCTTGTTGTCAGTTATGCAGCCAAATGTACATAGCAACAAAAGGAAACACCGGCCATCTGGGTGTGTGTTAGTATTCTTTTGAACATGGTCAGATTAATTACTTTCCCAGAATGCAGTAATTCCTGAGCAGTCTGGTGAGATGAGTTTCTTTTCTTAATGTGCACAGTTGGGGAAGAGAACCAGACTCCCAGGAGCCCCGGGAATGCGCCAGGGTACCCCTAGGCCTCTCGGTGGCATCCGTTTTACCGTCTTTAATAGGACAGACGGTCGCTCCCGTTCCCGGAAGGAAATGCCACCAGGGTTCTGACTCTGGAGGTGCGGGTGGAGCGAAAACACTGTGGGGTCCAACACATCCACTGAGGGACACCGCCGATCCCTGTCCGGACCTGGGGGCCCGAGAGATGCGCCAGACAGAGCGGACCGGGGGTGGCAACAGAGTAAGCCGGCCACACGCTGGATTTCTGTCCACAGAAACTTCGAAAGGAAATGGCTGAGGTTATTTTCTGCTGTTTTCCCTTCGTTTTGGTCAAGCTCGCTGAGAATGAAGACACTGGGGCCACAGAAGAGCCGTGCCCACCTCCCTCATCCCCCCATTTCCTGACACATCTAAAGCATCTAATGCCGCGGTGTGTGAGATGGATCAGAGTCAGACTGACTGAGCTGAAACCTGTCTCTAGCCCTGGAAGGCTGTGAGATACTCTCTACTTCATTTTGTTCACCTAAAAAACCCATGAGGATAATAGTACTTATATCAGAGAATTATGGTAAGAATCATAATGTAAGCAGGTGCTCAGAACTCAGTCTGGCAGCAAGTGCTTTTTTTTTTTTTATAAGCGTCAGCCACCTTATCATCACCGTCATCATCCTTAGGATCACTTTCATTATCATTTCATTAGCAGAATCCAAGTAGGAAATGACTGCGTTACGTCAAGCCTGGCACACCAGAGAGGCACTGTGAATGCATTCGTGTAAATCGTGACTCTGGGGAAACCTATGTGTCACCTTGCTGCCAGTTAGAAAAGCATACCCCTCCTCAAGACATTTCGGGCCCACTTTCTGGAAAACTATCATGAATAAACACAGGCATCCACAATGGCTCTTCTGAGGGTACCTCCATGGGTTGTACAGTGCACGGCCTTCACCACTGTACAATGACCCACTTCACCCTCTGATGGAAGAGACCACAGGGCTTGGTGACAGGTGAATCACTGGGTAGCAGAGAGAGAGAGGATCAAAAGGAAATTGGATGGGCCTAGGAAATGCCTGGATGTGTGTGCAAAATTCTGGTAAGGGCATGAGAGTGTTATGTCCCGAGGAGAAAGCTCATTGTTTTTCTCAGATGTTGAAAGGAACCGTGAGTCTCCCAAATTTCAGGAGCGTTATTCCAGAGGTAGGAGATGAGATGACATGGGCATACGGAGTTGGAAGTGATGCAGAAATGAAGGCAGTCTCTAGAGGCAGCTTGAGATTCAAGGCAGCTGGTTCTGCCCAGAGGCTGGCGCTGTGGCTCATTGGCACATAGGAACTCAAAAACCGAAATGGGAGAAACTTCTCAAAAATGAACATGGCAGGCCACAAGCAGAGAGTTCCTGGGGCAGTTCATGTTCGTTCAGTCCAATTCTGCCCTGGAACACGATGAAGGCCACAGGGGCGCCCTGTCTTTTGAGTCTCCACGTCTCCTCCCCACAAGGGGTCTGCAGGCTGTCTGTCACTTACATTCAGCCAAGACGTAGTCCCCCAAGGCTCCTCCTGCGGAGACGAGACAGAAAAGGGGCATCGCAAACCCGAGCACCCTGCTGCCTAGACCCTGGCCCTCACCTCCCACATCCATTCACCTCAACTGGGACCACCCCCTTCCCAGAGCACCATCATCTCTCACCTGGAGTTGCTTACCAGCTCTCTAGCTGGCTCCTTGCCTCTCATCTCACCTCCTGACACTCATTCTCCAACTGCCCAGACCGTGTCCCCCATAGTGTCCCTGCACTGACTTCCCAGGGCTCCCTGGCTAGCATCCTCAAGGCCCCCAGAGCTCCGCCTGGCTGGCTTCCATCTGCTCCCCCCCCGCCCCACGCCCCGATGCTCAGGAGGCAGGCGTGCACCCTGGTGACGGACAGGCAGAGGCACAATCATTTCTTACCTCCCACTACGCCTCATGCTCTGCCATGTGCATGGCTGCCCCATCTGGGTAGACCCCCCCGCCTTGTCCGCAACCTTTCCTAAAGCCATCTACCTCAAGGCCCAGAACCCTTGGTGGATCCTCAGCAGGTCATGGCCATTCCTTCCTTTGACACCCGAGAATGGTCTGTCTTAGGACCTTAGGGGCTCTCCTTTAACTGTGTTTACTTGTGCTACAGATTTCATTCCCTTCTAGATGTGGGTTCTGAGAATAGCAACAGCAATGAACCCAACTTCAAAGCCCATGTACTACTTTAAGTAGTATCTCGCAAAATAGTAGGTGTTCAAAAGAAGTTTGTTGAATTTGGAGCTTTCGTTCTGAGGAAAACAATTCATTCCTGCTCCCGGGGCGGAACCCGTGTTCCCAAAGAGAAAAAAGAGGAACAGGCTTCTTTCGGATGGACACCAAATCCCCTTCGCCCTCCCTCAGCCCACTTCCTGATGCATCAGTGTGTCCTGGGGTCAGAGGAACTGAGAGACTTCCTCCTTCTTCCTACTCACTCGAAGCCTGCCTTTTCCTTAAGATTCTGAACAGAATTCCAATAAAAAACAGGATGACGCAGACAGCGATCCCACTGATGACTCCAGTGAGCAGGGTGCCAGGCACCGGGGCTTCTGAAACAGCAAAAGCAAGTGAAAGCTGGGACTGTGGCCCCAGCCCAGCTCAGACCCTCCCCTCACTGCCATGCTGACCCTTCTGGTTCCACCCACAATGGACTTCTTCCACCCCCCCGCCCCCCTGCTCTCATCCGTACCCCAGGTGGCAGTGAGGGGCTGATCCAGGCCTGGGTGCTCCACCTGGCAGGTGTATCTCCGCTCTTCCCCAGGGGGCACGGCCACCGCCACCCAGCCCTGGTAGGTCCCATCCCCGTTGGGCAAAACGTCCTTCAGCTCAACGTCCTTGGCATCCAGAGGCTGCCTGTCCTTCAGCCACTTCATGGTAATGTTCTGGGGGTAGAAGTTCAGAGCCTGACACCGTAGGGTGCTCACCGCCGAGGCCACGTGATGAGTCACCTTCACCAAAGGAGGCACTGGACAGGAAGGAGGAAGGATCTGGAGAGGGGAGCTTTCTACCCTTGCCAAGAAGACTGGAACTTTCACCTCCCTTTCTCTATGGGTTAGAGGAAGAAGCTAACCCTATGCTGATGCAGCTACGTGAGTCATCATACTGTGTCCTAAAGCATGTTGCAGGAGTCCGCTATGATGGGCTGCTACATGGTAGACAGTCAAGCCCATGCTCCTGTCCCGTATATAAATATGCATACCTGCACCTCACAGCTTCTGTCCTTTGTCAATACAGTAAATGGAATCAGATGAAATTCCCCTGTTTGTGGATTTGATTGACTAAGCCCTATTGGTTCATTCTACCTGGCTCAATCCAGTAAGGATTCTTGTAAGAAGGGGCCCTGGAAGATTAGAAGCCCTCAGGGACTCTCTCTCTGTTCTGTGAAAGTAACCTTTAACCTCCAAAGGATTCTGCTACTCTGCCTGGTTGCCTCCTTTGGTAATCGCTTGGCTTGGCATTCATGTGATAATTGACATCTCTGAAATTCCTAAAAGGTATAAATATACACAGGGTTCTCAGTTAAATCAAAAGATCACAGACACTTCTTGGGCCACATGTAGGGGAAAAAAAAACAACCACCCTAAAACCATGCCCCTTGGTTGGGTCCTACATCTCAGTTATAAGGCGGAGACCTCAGACCTCAGCACCTTCCCCGAGAGTCGCGTGACCTTGGCCCCCTGGGAAAGTGCAGCCCGGACCTCGCCCCGCATCCGCCGCCGCTGCATCGGGAGAGTCTGCAGGCAGACCGGGCGCTCCCACCATACCTTGCCGGTCCAGGGCCCCTCTCCCCAGCTCCAGCAAGCGCTGCAGCTGCTCGGGGCAGTCCCTCTCGAGGTAGGCCCTGTTCTGTTTGGCCCGAATCTTGTTCACTTCCCACTCCAGCTTGGTGGCCTGGGCCTTGGGCTCTGCTGCTCTCCAGTCCAGCGTCTCGGGGCAGAATTCCAGATGATTCTGCCCGTCGTACCCATACTTCCAGAACCCCCTGGTGCTGTTGTCCTCTTGCACCTCACAACCCAGGATCACTTGCAGGGTGTGGGACTCTGACAACACCCCGAGCTTCGTTACTGAAACCAAAGGAGTAAGTCCCTGTCTCACCATCCATCCCCAGGGACCCCAGGACCTCAGACTCCTTCCCTCCTCCCCCAGGACCTCAGACTCCCTGTTTGCTCGCCCAGAGGCATCTTCGAGCTACAGGAATGTGCTCTGCCCACCTCGGAAAGGAGAAGCGCCCTCTCCACGTACCCTTGCTATGGTTGTGATTGTCCATGATGGTCCAGAAGTCGACGATGAACATGTGATCCCACCCTTTCAGGCTCTGACTCAGCTGCAGCCACAGCTGGCTGGCGGCCCCACCTCGGACCCACTGGGCGCGGGGCTCTGCACGGCGACTCTCGTGACTGTAGGACACAAATAGCTGGTCGTCCACGTAGCCCAAGGCCTCAAAGAGGGGCAGCCCAAGGTCCGGCACCGAGGCACCCATGAAGAGGTAGCGCAGAGAATGGGACCCTGGGGGGGAAGGCCAGAGGACAGCTCTGTGGGCCGCAAGCGGGGTTGGGGGGCGGAGGGGCCACAGCCCTGCTGGATCAAACACACAGCACCAGCTGTGTCTGGCCCCCCCCCCACCGCACGTGCGCTGCAGGGCCTCTCCGCCCCCCGCCACAGGCCTGGGTGCTCTCACCCCCCGGGGCGCTGCCACCACCCCCCTCGGAGCTCCCAGCCTCTGCCCCACGTCCCACATTTAGGGCAATCTCCCCTGCAGCCCACAAACTCTCTGAGATCCCAAAGGGTCTCTCGCAGCGGCAGCCGAGCTCAGGAGTTGATGCTCAGGGCGAATTAGATCCAAGTGCAGAGGAATTCACTGTTGGGTTTTTTCCATGACGCCCGTCTCTAAACCCTTTCCTGCATAAATGTTTGCCGTGAAATGCGGGCAGATCTGCTGATCCATAACTAAGACACTTTCAGAGCAAACACGGAAGAAGCCCCAGTAAGAGCAAGTGAGAGTTTCCTTTCCTTCCGCTGATGAACGCCCAAGGCCTAGAACAGCGCCTGGCATTGTACTAGGAGCTCAGTACATCCTTATTAAATGGATCGATGACAGCTCCTTGGTTTTTATCTCTGGCCCTGAACTCCAGATTCTTACGCCCAACTGCCGACAGGACACCACCAGTTGGATGAGGAATTGGAAAAATCAAACTTAAGTTTAACTCTTGATTTCCCCCAAGCTGCTCTTTCTTCTGTTTCGCCATCTCAGAAATGGCATCACCTATCACCTCATTGCTCGGGCCAATAAAACGTTTAAAATAATAAAATAATTTTTAAAGAACAGAGTCGCCTTTGGCTTTTCTCTTTCTCTCACACGGCGCCGGGATCCTTCGGCAACTTCCTCCTGAATACATCCAGGATGCTGCTCTCCTCCTCCTCTGCTCGCCCCCAGGCCCGGCCCCCCGCGTCCGGCCCGCACCCGGCAACAGTCTCCTGGCTGCTCCCCGGCTCTGACTGCGACTTCCTTCACCCCTGCCTCCTACAGACCTGCGAGAGCAATCCTTCCCAAAGCTGTGCCAGATCATGTCCGTCCTCAGCTGGAACCCACACGGCAGCCCGCGAGGTCCTAGGAGGCCTGGCTTGTGGCCTGTGGCTGAGCCCCTGACGAGTCCGGGCCTCTGGTCCTTACGCTCGTGCTGCACCCCAGCCGCTCCTAACTGGGGAGCTGTGTCTCCCAGCAGACACTTGGCAACGTCTGGAGACACCTGTGACCGGGGGATTTCTACTAACATCCCGTGAGTAAAGCACATCCTATGATGCACACAACAGTCCCCACCACAGACAGGGGTCAGTTCCCCCGAGGTTGCAGTCCCTGCTTCCACTCAACTTGTGGGGTCCACTCAGCTCGTCTGGGAAGCTTCCCGCTGGCACCAGCCCTGTTTCCTTCAGCTCTCGGCTCCACGGCCAGCCTGAGAGGAGACTGCCCTAGCCTCCCCACCTCACCTGTCTCCACAGCTCCTGCTGCTACCCAGGGCTCTGGGTCCTCTTGTTAGTTTACTGTCATCTCCCCAAGAGAACGCAAAATACCAGAGGGCAAGGACTTGGCTCCCTGCTACCTCCCCGGGGTCCAGAACAGTGCAACTCACGCTCTGTTACTCCCTTTCTACGGGTGAACAACAAATACCTCTGTTCCACATCAAATTGAGGATTCAACCTCTACTGTGGTGTGACATTTAAGAATCACAGCCATGGAGGCGCTGGTTCTGCCTCAAAAGCCCAGGGTAACGTGGAACAAAATTACCCATGAGCAGGTCATGCCTCATTTTTGTCATCTTTATAGTGTGGATACACATACGACCTACCCTCCAAGCGTTGTTCTCAGACCGTGTAGAAGGTGTGCAAAGACTCACGGTCACCTGAGATTAGGAACAGTGGCGGTATTTCATTTTTCATCAGAGAACCAGATCCCACGTTCTTTCTAACCTGGGGAAGGAATTTAACCTGAGGGCCAGTTAACACTAGTAAAATCGCCCTATGACTGGTTCCTACCTCCCAATGCTTAGTGGAGTCAAACCAGATCACAGAGACGAAGGTGATTTAAAACTGAGTTAAATGTCAGTTATCACGTTGGCATCCTTTAGTAAAAACCCGTTTGTTATGTATAGTACGATTAACGTTGCAAATCAACACTCCACCCCCGGCTGAAAATGAGAACTCTTCCGTTCAGTTCAAAAGTCCAGAAATCACAGTTATGATGAAAAACTACAGTTTTTCCAGGCAAAAGAATAACCGACCGCCAAGAGTCAGTAAGGCCGGGGTCACATCTGTCTCGGGAGCCTCCCCCGACCCCGAGTTGGAAAGAGGTGGGAGGAGGGGCGCGGGAAGCCCAGCCCCCCGCTCGCTCCAGTGCCCCCTACTGGGTGCGGGGCGGGGGGGGGGCGCGGAGAGGGACCCCGCTCAGCCGGGGCCTGCTGCCCTCCGCCAGCCCTGAGCGTCAACACCCCGGCCGGGCCCACGTCGTCTTTGGGGAGAAGAACTTCCTGTTTGGGGACGACAGGAGAAAACACGACGTGGCCCAAAGCAGAACGAGGGCACCCAGCTCGGAGTCCGAGGGCCCCGGGATCCTAGCTCAGCCTGGATGAGAAACGCACAGATACGGAGTTAAAAGTAGTTAAAGCGTCACAGTCGGCGGAGGGCGCGGGTGGCTCCGAGCGCCACCCTGGGGAGCCGCAGCCGGGGTGGGGGACGCACAGGTCCCGGGCGAGGGGACCCGCAAACCCGCCTGCACCCGGCGGCGGAGCCCCTCCCGGGAGAGTCGGGGACAGGCTGCGCTCGGGGCCGAGGCGTCCCCCCCGCACTTGGCCACCCCAGGGGCTCAGCAAAGCTGGTTTCGGTCTCGTCCGCGGGCGACCCGGACTCACGCGGCGGCCGCCGGAGCGCGGCCACGGTCCGCAGCAGGAGCAGCGCGAGCAGCGCGCGCCGCGCTCCCGGGCCCATGTCGGCGCTGCGGCCGCGCGTCCAGGAGCTTCACCCGCCTCCGAGCGGCGGCGACGCGGGCATGGCCAGCAAGTCACCCTGGAGTCGCTGCCCGGGCTGCGGGGATTCCAGACAAAACTTCCTGGCCAGTGCGATCCTTTTCCGGGCTGTGGCTGAAAAGAAACGCGCCTGCTGAACTTGAACTCTCTCCTGCAGCCTGAGCCCTGGCTTGTGAAACACTCAGTGACCCAGCTGTCCCTGCGGGTTTCCAGGCCGAAGGGGACGTGGCTGATGGGGGGGGGGGGGAGGAAATATGCTTAACAATGATCCGACCTGAATAGCTTAATTTCTGATATTCGATATTTAAATAGTAATTTAAAAATTAGCGATACATTTTCAAAGTGTTTATCTTAAGTTCAGCTGGCCGATCTTGTTATTGAACGTAAAAATACGGTTTTTGTGTAAAACTTCCATTTTATTCCCACATTAGAAATAATTAAATCCTAAGTTTAATAAATTAGAACCTACTGAAACATTTTTCACATTTTCATAGTTAAATTAAATTTCACGAACTTTACAAAACAGTGGAATCACCTAGAAAATCATTAAACCCATTGATGCCCTGCTTTTACCGTCAGCTACTGATTTAATTGGTGTGCTGTGCTACCTGGGGATTGGAATTTTAACCCCCACCCCCCACAACCCACCACACACACACCCAAAGTTTGGGAACTACTGCTTTAGATATTTCAAAACATATTAACGAATTTCATACATCTGATTTTCCTAAAAACCTTTAAACCGCTAATAAATCCAATGAGCAATACCTTTTTAAGCATGTATGCCAATTTTGGCCATCTAAGAAAAAAAAATCAGACTTGGAAATTGGGGCCTAACTGTAGGGGGATTTGAAATGTTGAATACAGTTGATGAGAACATTGGGGTTGACTGTAATATTCTTTTTCTTGGTAATAGCTTGATTATCGAGATTTAATTCACGTGCCATACGATTCATCCACTTAAGGTGTAAAATTCAGTGAGTTTTTGTATTTTCACAAAGGCATGTAACTAACGATTACCTTGGTTTTAGAACATTTTTCATCCTCTCCACGAAGAAACCTTGTACCTTTTAGACAGCACCTCCAAATCCCTCCATGCCTCCCACCCCACCCAAGGCAGTCACTAATCTACCTTCTGTCTCAATAGACTTACCTCTTCTGAACATGGAATCCTAGAATATGTGGTTCCTCACGACTGGTTTCTTTTATTAAGCATAATGTTTTCACGTTTCTCTTTCGTGGACGAACAGTATTCCATTAGACCCCATATCCATTCGTCAATTGATGAAAACTAGATGATTTCAACTTTGTGCCTACTAGGAATAATGCTGCTCTGAACACTTGTGTACCCATTTTTGTGTGGATTTATATTTTATTTTCTTTTGGGTGTACACCTAGGGGTGGAATTGCTGCGTCATATGATGACTCTATGTTTAATTAACCTTTTGAGGAAGCACCAGACTGTCTTCCAAAGTGGCTACACCATTTCGCGCTCTCATCAGCAGTGAATGACAGTTCCGATTTCTCTCCACCTTTGCCAACGCTTCTTATGGTTCATCTTTATAATGCTAGCCATCCTAGTCAGTGAGAAGTAGTGCCTCATTGCACTTTGGATTTGCATTTCCCTATGACTAGTGATATTGAACTTTTTTTTTTTTTTTTTTTTTTTTTTTTACCAGATTAGTGGCCATCTGCAAAACTTCTTTGGAGAAATGTCTATTCAGATCCTTTGCCATTTTAAAATCTGGGTTATTTGCTTTTTCTCATTGAGTTGTAAATGTCCTTTATGTATTCTAGATAAAGTCCTGTACCAGATGTATGATTTGGAATTTCCAATTCAGTGTGTTGTCTTTTTCCTTGCTTGATGGTATGCCTCGAGGCAAGATACCTGCTAACGTTGGTGAAGTGCAATTTATCTATTATTTTTTCTTTAGTTATTTGTACTTTGGGTGTCATAACTAAGAGATCATAGCCAAATCCAAGGTCATGAAGATTTATACCTATGGTTTCTTCTAAGTATTTGTAGTTTTAGTTCTTATATTTATGTCTTTGATCCATTTTGAGTTAATTTTTGGATATGGTATGAGGTTGGGGTCCAACTTCATTCTTTTTCATGTGTGTAAAGGAAGACTCTCAGCTTTTCCTTCGTGTGTGGGGGGAAAAAAACCAGTTCTTCTGCATTGTGTTTTCTATCCTGTGTGTCTCCTTTACTACTCACACAAAACACTTGACTTCTGACTCTTCTGGTCAGCAAATGGTTGGAGTTCCCCATAACAATAAGCAATTCTCTACAACATCAGCTGGGTGTCCTACAATTTGACTCAATCCTGATACTCTCTGCTTGGAGGTGGTGCCGGATCCCACAGGTAGGGGCCCAGCCCCATGAAACTGCCCTCTCTTCACATGCCAGTCTCAAGACCACATTGTTACCTGTGCTTCTGACCAATGGGTTATTGGTCAGAAGTTCCGGTGACCCCCTTCTCAAGTTCAGTTAGTTGGCTAGAACGGATGGCTTACAGAACTCAGGGAAACATGTAGGTTTACCTGTTTATTAAAGGATATGATAAAGGACACAGACGAACAGCCAGGTGAAGAGATACATAAAGAGAGATGTGGGAGGGTCCTGAGCACAGGGGCGTCTGTCCCTGTGGAGCCGGGGTGCGTCACCCTCCTGGGGTGGATGCCTTTCCCCAGCCCGGAAACTCCCCCAAACCCATTCTATTGGGATTTTATAGAGGCTTCTCACACAGGCATGATCAATTATCAACTCCATTTCCAGCCCCCCTCCCCTCTCTGGAGGATGGTGGCGGGGGTGGGGGGAGGTTGAGTATTCGAAGCTTCTATTCATGGCTTGGTCTTTCTGGTGACCCTCATCCAGGAGCCACCAGGAACCCACCAGAGTCACCTCATTAGAACAAAAGAACAATTTCTTATTAACCAGGAAATTATAAGGATTTTAGGAGCCCTGTGTTAGGAACTGAGGGGGAGTCCAACATATATTTCCTATCATCTCACAGACATTCAGCTGTCCCAGCACCATGTGTGAACAGACTATTCTTTCTTTACTGAATTATTTTGGCACCCTTGTCAAAAATCAATTGACTGTGTATGTGAGGATTTATTTCTGGACTCTCAGTTCTATTTCATTGATCTAGTTCCTGAAAGTGCATATATCAAAATTAAAGATTCTTGTTCAATGAAGGATACAGTGGATTAAGTTAATAAATAGCTGATGGAATGGCAGGAAGTTTTATACGATGTTGGAAACAGACAGAAGGGTTAGTAATTAGAACAGAAAAGAAACTCCTCTCAATCAAGAAGACCAAGACAGAAACCCCAAATCAGAAATGAGTGAAAAAAAAATGAACAAGAAACTTACATAAGAAAAATCCAAAGCACTTGGTAAAAAAGGTAACGAAAAGGGATATATAATTTTGTCTCTTAGGGCATTAACAAATTACAAAGTTGAATACTGCCCAGTGTTTGTGTGGATATGGGAGTGCAGACTGGGGCTTCAATTCCGTTCCCGGGCACCCTTGGTAAAGATTTTCTCAAATATATCCTTCAAGGTACACGTCTGTGTGTGACCAGAAGGAGCAGGCACATAGGGTATACCCTTCACTGAGAGAGTAAAATGAGTAAAATGGGAAACTGCACCATAGGGTACCGTAAGAAACCAAAGACGTTAGTTTAGTAAATTAAAAATACATGCAATGCAAAACAAGGACATTCTCCCTCTGAAGGACATTTTCAACCAAAAATACCCATGTAACTAATTAGAAAGGCAGTCTGCAAAGGTGGAATAGGAATGGGCTACAGTGGCAGAGAGGGATACGGAGAGTAGGCACACACACGCACACACTCCTTTGTGCATGCGTTCTCTGGCAGAAACGGGGGGGCCTGGAGGATTGAGGGCCTTCTCCACCCCACTTGGTGGACAGCGAACGGCCAGCGATGAGCTCTCACTCTCCACGAAGTGATATGGTGACAGTAGATGCTGTCTGATCTGTGGCTCCAGACGCCGGCCATGCAGAAGACACTGACAGCAAGCCCCACTGTGCTTCTTCTTAGCTTTCCTACCCGATTAGAATAGCTTTTTCCAAAGAACTCCAATGGCAGCCATGGCCAAAATGCTTGCTAACGTGGGCATCTAAGCAGTGGTGTTCCTGGAGTCCGACGAAGGCTCTGTTTGAGGTTCCACGTACTTAACTGCTCCCTTCTTTTTGCCCCTCCCCGGGGTGTGAGAGTCTGGGTCCTCTGTCCCAACCATCTGCTTCGGCAAATGTGCCAGACCCACCCAGGGCTACCAACCCTGACAGGCTCACTCCTTACTCCACGTGTTAATGGTGGTTCCATCCTTGCTGGGCTGGCCCCCTCCGTGGTCTGAGCGCAGGCCGCCCTGACCCCTTAGCGAGAACTGGTACCGGTGTGGTAGCACAGAGGAAGAAACACAGGGCTGGGCACCGCACCACTGCTTCCTGCCAAGAGGTCCCACGGCTGGTCACATATACTGAAGGCGGTTCTGAGGGGCAGGGGCGGGAGGAAGAATGGGCTCTGGGCCCTCCCTTCTGAGATACTAGCTCACTCCACGAGACCAACAACCACTTGAAGGCTGGCCTCAGCCCCTCAGCTGGTGCTTCAGCCTCAGCCCCTCACGTCTCTGGAAACCCTTGTGGATGGGCAGGTGTTATGGGTTGAAATGTGTCCCCTACTAAAATGGTTGCTGCAGTCCTAACTCCCAGCACCTGTAAATGTGACCTTATTTGAAAACAAAGTTTTTTTCCAAATGACCAAACTAAGGTAAGGCCATTAGGATGGGACCTAATCCAACAGGACTGATTTTGACCCAGAGAAGT